GAGGTTATAGAGCCCTGACTGTTCTTCCAAAGGTCCTGAGGTCAATTCCCAGCAACCACATGGTAGCTCACAACCATCTATAATGAAATCTGGTGATCTCTTCTGGTGTGCAAGTGTACATGCAGGCAGAACACTGTATACATAGTAAATAAATAAATTTAAAAAAAAGAGACCTTGTCTCAAAAATACAATAAAAAACAAAACTAAGAGAAAGTGTACATTTTTTATGTGTTTTTGTTTTGTTTTGTGTGTGGTTGGATTGTGTGGTTCTGTTTGTTTGCTTGTTTTGAGATGGGATCTCACTACCTCACTATGCAGCCAAGGCTGGCCTGGAACAGAGATCTACCTGCTTCTGTCTCTCAAGAGCTGGGGTTAAAGGCTACCATGCCACACTGATTGTGTGGTTCTTGAGCTTGAGCTTTATAGGGGGTGACAGCATGTCACAGTATCCAAAGGTTGGACACCCTTGATAGGGGACACACTAGGAGACACCAATAGTGTTCAGTCCTTCAGCTCACACAATTCTATAAAAAATACTATAGATGTGACACCATTCAGTCTGTATATAAGGTCAAGTAGGGCTTGGCCTTGATTTTTTTGTAGGACAAGTAAACAAGAGTGGCATGGCAGGTGAGTGACAGAAGAAATGATGATTGGAATCTGTCTCTTTTAATACCTGTGACATGTAAGGCACTCCTGTAGAATTTAGAACGTGTCACATTGCAGGCATACTCATATTTTCAATGATGAAACATTTTCAAGCTCAGGTTTTCCAATTGGGCATGCTCAACTTGTAGGTAAATGGCACTCTCTCCCCCAACAGAAAGAAAACAAAGCCATGTGGGCACTGCTGGAAACATAGCTGGAAGCTCTATCGCTGACTTCGACACACTCACCCTTTCCCAGCACTGAACGGCACGGCAGAATGGCAGGCCATGGCCAAGCCTACCTCCAGCACCTTCTTCCTCTGGACCTGCACAGATGGGCACAGAAGAAAGGGAGGTGGTTTGAATCACTCCTGAGATCCTCACAGATGTAGAAGAAAGTGTGGGGTCCAGTCATGCATGCCTTTTAGACTGACACTGTCCTTCAAGGCGTCTGCTGTTCTTGTCTGTTGTGAGCCACGTTGACAAAAAGCTGGGCTAGCATCTGCTAGACCTCCACACGAGCAGGCTGGTGGTGTGCTCAACAAACTGCCTTCCAGATATCTGTGTTTATGACCACAGATGAGTGCTACTGTCAGCTTTGGTCAGAGAAGCTTCCTTTTTTGCAGTGGGCATCTATTACTTCTGAGACTCATATCCTGCCAAAGCGCTGGGATGTTGACTGTTCACAGGGCACACAAAATAGGCATGGAAGTAGAAGCAGGGACAAGTTGGGAAGAGGTGTAGAATCAGCAAGTCAGAGGAAGACAAGAAAGGGTAATGAGGTGTGACCGTGACCAAAATACACTGCAAGTTATATGTCATAAACAAAATTACATAAAATTAGTGTGTGTGTGTGTGTGTGTGTGTGTGTGTGTGTATGTGTGTGTGATGGCTTAGAGAGTGTTTGCTGTGTGGAACCTGGGATTAAACCTCCAGAAGCCATGTTAAAATAAACTAAAAAGCTGTGCGTGACATGCATGCCTGTAACCTCTGTACTTGGAGAAGCTAGAAACAGAAGGGTCGCTGGTGTTTGCTGGCCACTAACCTTGCTCTGGAGGCTCTACCCTGAGAGGCAGAGAGCGACAGAGAAGACACAGCCATCCTCCTCTTCCTGTGTGTACATCCTCAGCCACACATGTTGAACATGACTTCTCAGATCCAGTCTTTAGTTCATCCAGATGGAGCGGCAAAGATGCTCAGCTGTAAAGTCACGCAAAGAGATGCTAAAAGCTGAAAGGGGGGCATGAAGCAACAGGAAAGCCTCTGCTCTCCTTTAATCCACCCCAGTCACCACCCAGGATTATAAACCTTTAAAGATCCATCCTTGAAAGCAAGTAGGCCAAGCCATTGAGTGAGTAGACTTGGAATGAGGGGTCTACTTTCCTTCAGTTTCTAATTTTGGGTCCACAGCATCATTCTTGCATTTGTTAAAGACCTTGGGGCTCCTGGAAGAAAAGAAAATTAATACAAAAGACACTATAATAGTACTGCTATTAGCAGAAGTAGGCTTGGCAGGAAGCCTTGGCCACCCGGACTCCAGAGGTCTCAGTGACTAAATGGGAGGCTCTGCATGACTCAGATCAGATCTGTTAGCCAGAGAGAAGCTGGGAAATCACAGCTGGGGCAGGTGTCCTTCCTACTCACTGGCTACTCTCCCCTGCTCTGGGGTGCTTGGACTCCCCAAAGGCAGATGCCCAATTCCAGCACAGATAAGTCCTTCTCTTCTTACACGGTGTGCATCTCTTGGGACTTGTCTTTGGAAGACCCTTGGGCACATGAGCAGTAAGCCACACAGGAGAGTGAGGCAATGATAATGACAGAGGAGGGCCTCCAGACCACAAGCACTCGGCTGGGTGCCCACACTAAAGCTGGGTGGAGGGTCTCAGCACCTCAGAGCCCTGAGAGCAGCCTGGACATCCTCCTGCCGTCATGACTGCCGTGCAAAAACTGATCCTGTTAAAACCGGAGCACACACAGAACTCATAAACTGACCCCAGGGCTTGGACTTGACCCTGGGCCCCCTCACCCCTAGTAGTCTACGGCACAGAACCATTTCTCAGCCCTGAATCTCAGTATCAGACAGCAACAAGAATTATGCTATCATATACTCACCTGAGGGTGTGTGAAGTTAGAAAGGCAGACTGGAAAGGTAACAAGAAAACACAATGACCCACATTCTACTCATTTCTTCCTGTTGGGGGACACCACTGAGCTACATCCTCAGCTGGAACCCGTACAAGTGCACCAGGTCCTACTTCGTTGCCAAGCCCTGTGGGGTTGAGGCCAAAAAGTCTGTGGGAAGACGTTGAAAATGAAGCATCCCCTCTGTTCCTCATAGCTGTCAGAGCCTGCATGGCACAGTGGTGAAGAGTTATCCATATGTGGTTAGAACCTGGGTTTGAAACCTGCCTCTACCTCTTCCCAGCAATGCGACTGAGAAAGCATCTGACCTCGTGCTATCCCAGTTGTCCTCAGCTCCCAAATGTGGTGGCCGGCTGTATCTTCTTCAGAAGATGAGAAGCGTGAAGCGAGATGTTAAAGGCATAGCACCTGGTATAGACCCAGCATGTGAGAAGGGCTACACATGGTCAAATAGCCTTTCCCCTTCAAGAATGTGCTCAGGAGGCACACTGCCCCTGAGGGGCCCTGCATCTCTGTGGTCTCTCCTGAGAACATGGGAAAGGGAGTGTGATGGGGCAGTGGGGAGTTCTGAGTTACTTGACAGATCCTTGAGCTATGGACTAAGCCTCGGGTTGTGGGCTTTCATTTACAACAAAAAACAAAACAAAAAGCAAAGACAGATAAAATTTGTGAGAGCCAGGCAAGTACTTTTGTGTAACCCATGTAGTTGTGAAGACGCCACTGTGACCACAGGCTGAAAATTACGATCAGTGAGGACACCACCAAGCATTTCCAAGCAGCTGTGGATCCTGTGCTATGTCAACTCAGAGTTCTAGGAACATTGCCAAGGCCAGGACATGAAATCCTTCAGAGTCAAAAACTATGTCCAACCAAGGAGCACCAGCCCCAACCCATCCACCACTGGGGAGAAATGATGTGATGTGCTTACAGTGGATGGTCAGTTTGGGTCCTCAGCTATCTACCTGGCCTTCCACAGACACTCTAGAAACTGTCTAGGGTCTATCCCAACTCATAATAAAGGGCAGAACTTATGTATCACTCCAGAAGCACAGAGACATTTTTCTTCTACTTTCTTGCTCTCTTCATCTTCCTCAACTAGTGTTTTAGGAAGCAAGTACCAAGAATGAAACAGGGAAAACAGACTGTAGCCTATACAGCAGCTCTGTGTTGTAAACAGATTATATGTGAGCTGGACAGATCTGAGTTCAAGTCTTAGCTCATTAGTGTTGCTGTGAGCAGCTTTAGTTATCTAACCAGCTAGGTTAAACTTGGTAGTTTTCACACTTGACTTGCTGCTCTGAACCAGTAGTTCTTGGACTTCAGCCTGGGTCAGAACCACCTGACTGGCTTTTAGGGAACCCTGGGCATGAGTTCCCTAGAGATGCTGATTTGGCCAGGATTAAAGCCCTCGACAACTCTGAAAGGGCTGAACAAACAGGTCAAAACCCACCTCCTGCCTGCAAGCAGCTGTAGAATGAGGACAGTGGAATTCCCTCTCCATGAGAACAGATTGCAAAGATATGAAAGTGTTCTGTGAGGTTGTAAAGTTCTAGACTGTCATACTGGAGTAAACATGATTATTCTACACATTAAGGGGTATGGTTCAGAGTCAGTACTGCAGTGCTCAGCACATAGTAGGGTTATTTAAAAAAATGACAAAAGCCAAATGATAACTAAAAATAGCTATTCACTCTATGTTGGGGATGCCAGCCTTTGTCATACAACAAAGAATGGAAATAAAGTTATAACACATGAAGTTCATATTGCAATCGTGGGTGGCAGAGACCGTCTTCTTGGCTTCTGATCCAACTCATTATTCAAATCCTTTTACTATGGTCTACTCCATTGCTCAGTGTGGAACCAGCTGTGGATCTTGATAAGAGGAGAAAGCTGGGCTGTTTCCACTTTGCTTCTGGCAGTCCTCAGGCCTCCAATAGAACTTTCTTGCAAAATGAATAGTGCTGGCTCCCAGAGAAACCAATCTAATCTCATCTTGTCCGCTCAGAAGATCCACCTCAAACATTACAGACTGTCTTGACTGTAGCACAGAGGGCATCTAATTCCATCTGGGTGTGCATCTGTGTTGCAGTGACATGCACGGAGCCATCTGTGTGTTAGAAGCAAAATAGAACGGTGCTTTTAAACTGTTCCTGTCAGTGGTGTTCCTTAAAGAGTCCCCCACATGAAATAATGACAGAAACTGAATGAGTACAAGAGAGTTTAATAGCCACAGCCTCCTCTAAACAGGCCCAGGATGGATCCAAAGCCCAAGCCCCAATGTTCATAGGCTCCACAATCTGGTCAGACTACCACACTGTCAAGAAACCCAATTTACTAACCCTCTGGAGAATTTTAAATTACTTTAAAAGAAGAAAAAAATAAGACTTTGGTTCCTCTTGTTTGAATAATGCTACTTATCCCCTCTTGGCCATTTTCTGAAGGCTTGGCCAACTTCAAATGAAATTACTGTAGAGGTTGTTTATCTACAAATATATATTGTTCTTTCAGTATTAACAGAATACTAGTCAGTATTAACAGAAGCTTAAAAATAGAACAATACAGAACACCTAAAAGTCTGAAAATACTCTACATTTCCTATGGCCCAATCTAGCTACATTATCAAGAGGACGTTATCAGATTCAACACAATATATACAAATTGACTGTTATTGCCACAAACATTTCAGATCCTAGGGATGCTACATGAAATACATCAACTCCTGTTTGTAGGATCAACACTTGAACCTTTAGGTACTGGGCTCATGTGCATATTGGCTCTACAAGGATTCTAAGGACCAGATTTTAACATTAATTAGGTATGTATTTCCAGTTGACTTGGTGCCTAGGTGAGAATACAGCTCACTGGCGAGATCAGAACTGAGTGTACTGACCAATGTTTCTTATTGTTTTCACGACTTTGTAGCTGAAATTCTAAATCTGAAAGGGCTTGGTGAACCAGCAAGCTTATTCAGCTTACCCACAGGGACCTGAGAGACCAACAGTATACCAGCTAAAAGTCCAGCCACAATATGGGTGACCTCTTTAAGGCTGGCTAGGTGGGGTACCCCCTCCAGTTAAACGACCTACCAAGCATCCTATAATCTCCCACATAGAGCTGGGATGGAGAGATAGGCAAGAAGAAGCTCGACTCTCAGGTGAGGCTCTAATTACCCTCTCATTCTTTCTAAGGAGTTATGTTCAAAGTGTGATCTTGGGACTGGAGAGATCACTGAAGGGTTAACTCACTTGCTGCTCTTGCAGAACACCCAAGTTCCACCCCCAGCATCACACACGCACATACCCACCAAAGAAACCAAAGACATCTTATTATTTTTTTTAATTTAAAGACAAAGTATCAGGAATGGAGAGTTGGCTTGGCTTGCTCTTGCAGAGGACACTGGTTTGGTTCCCAGCACTTGCACGGTGGCTTACAACAACCCAAAACACCAGTTCCAGGGGCCCTGATACCCTCTTCCGATCTTGGTGGGTATCAGGTGTGCACAGGCTGCACATACATACACTCAGGCAAGACCCTCATACATAAAATAAACAAGCCTCACTGTGTAGCACTGGCTGTTCAGAAACTGTCGACCAGGGCGGCCTTGAGTTCAGAGCTCTATCTGTCTCTGGTTCCCAAGTTCTGAAATTAAACGGAATTAAAGGCGTGCACCACCACAACAGATAAATCTATACATTTTATTTCTTGTTTTTTTTTTTTCCCCCAGGGTCTCACTGTGTAATTCTGGAACTTACTCTGTAGACTAGGATGGCTTTGAACTCAAGAGATGATGATGATGATTTTGGTTTTTTGAGATTTGGTTTCTCTGTGTAGCCTTGGCTGTCCTGGACTCATTTTGTTGACCAGGCTGGTCTTGAACTCAAAGAGATCCACCTGCTTCTGCCTCCCTCTTTGCCTATACTCAGAGGTTATATGCCTGGCTAAAATTAATAAATCTTAAAACAAGCAAAATGCTAAATTTGTGAGGGTCTCATATGGTAGCACTGCTGCTGTTTTCAAGATGTGTCAGCCACATCATGCCCTAAGGACAGAGTTCCACAAGGGCTAACCTTTTCATGACCCCACCTCCTCTTACCCCAACAGCCTTGTCCCTATTTTACTTTTCCTCATGTTAGCTGTTTATTTATAAATACCTTATACATCTCCAATCTGAAATGTCAACACCAATGACTAATAAATACAAAGGCAACAGAGGTCAATATGCATAAAAACTTGTCACAAATTAAGAAGACTTTGCAGATGGGTGATGACGTAGGACTTTCTGGTGACAGTTATCTGAGATATCAGATGACAATGAACACAAGGCCACTTTAGAAATCAATGCATCAATGCAGAAGAAAATATTAAGTCAGGACACCATGCCACATCCCCACTCCCCACACTGTTGATCCGATAGCTTCTGCTCCAGGTAGCAGACTGAAACACTGCAACAGCAAAAGGCTACAAGAGCACTGCAGGAAAGGGATAAACATCTCTTCAAGAGATGTGACAAAATGGTTTCAGGTTGGAGAGTCTAGCATAAATTATCCTGGCGGGTAGAGAGGGCAGGGTAAGGGGGGGAAAGAGAGTGGGAAGGGGTCAGAGGAATGGGAAGGAGGGGGTGGACAGGCGCTGTTTAGCTAAGGTCCCAATTACCATGTCTGTTTCTCTAAACCACGCTGGACACTGCCTTGGAGATGCTCACATCTCACTCCCGGCAGGCTGCAGCAGTCTGGTCATATGGACACTAGAATTCATTTTAACAGGTCATAACCATCAGGGTTCATTTCATAACTAGCGCTACAAAGGTTCCCAGACCACATGACCTTAAAGTGAAGGATGAATCTGACCAAATGATCACCTGACTCCTCAAATTCCTGCTCAGGAAGCTGCATTCCTGGGGAGTCAAGGTAGAAGCACTTTTGGAATGGGCTCTCCTCTCAGGAGACTGCCACAGAGCACTCTGCCCCGCACACAGTAACTCTGCCCAGGGTACAAGCATGCAAAGACCCAGCAAGGGCAAGGGCAAGGGCACTGATGTATCACGAAGCAGAAGCATTCGAGCTAAGAGACAAGTTTCATAGAAGGCGGAGGTACCACAGTCCCATAATAAAGGCTCCTGGGACCACAGCTATGTCTGAAAACGATTTACATACACGGCCTCTGAGCAGAAGTTCAATGTGAAACGGAACACCAGCTATGCAATAGGGAACTGGGCGTTAGTTAAGTTCTCTAGTGCTTTTAGACTTTTTTTTGAAAATTTCATTTTATTAAAAAAGAGAGAATTGTCATCTACAAACTATTTTTTATCTATCTATGCAAATACAACATCAAAATACTCTGGTAAATTCCCTGATGGAGCAGACAATTTTAGGAATTTCCAACAGGATATATAATGAGGAAGATCAATAGGGTTTAAATTATAGGGGTTAGCTGAATTTTCAGAATAGAAAGGAAAGCTAGTCGTTTAAGAAGTCAGTAACTTTCAGTTTTGTGGGTTTTGGTAATTTAAATCCAGTCACCAGGAGTCCAGAAGCAGCAGGACATGAGACTGTGTGACTGTATTGCGGGACACAGAAGCAGCTCCCATGCAGTACTTCAAGTGTTGCTATCAGATGTATTTAAGTGACACTTTACAGATTAAAGCCTGGTAAAATAAAATATATCCTCCCCAGGACATTTTAAAACACAGTGGCTTATCAACAGTTGCCATTTCACAGCAATAAGAAAACAGTTGGTACAAGTTGAACACAAAGCTACCTCTTCTTTTGTAGGAAATAAACATAGATATATAGATACATATACACATATACATTATCTTCAAAATTCAAAGTGGTTAATTTGCTTTGCTATTAACCTTTGCCATGTTTAAAAATCACACACTATCTCAGTGGGTCTATTGATTTGATTGTAAAGTCATATACTCTCAGGACTCAGACTACCAGGACTCCTACTGAATCAAACAGAAGCAAATCTACCCTTTTCTCAGTCTCCAGAAAGGACACTTTGAACATATTCACCCCCAGAAGTGATAAAAAAAAAAAAAAAAGTCCCGATTTTGAACTGGTAAACTAGGAAAGTGTGGTCACCTGGAAGCGATGTACATAAAATGGAATAATCTGTGGGAGAGACTGAGTCAGAAAGCGGTTCTCGGGATCGTAATCTGGGAGATGTGGGAGGTACACGAACTCTTTGGGGAATTTGGTTCAGACACAGACATGGCTTCTCTCTGACCATCTCTCAGTGCAGGGGCTTGCAGCTCATGGTCCATATCTATTTTGTCCGCTGTTTTATAAATAAGGGTTTTACTATGCTATAACCACGGTCGTTTGTTTTTACGTTGTCTGTGACAGCTTCTTTGCAACAATAAGAATGGCTGTCACAGAGACCTAATGTATTTACTCGGGTCTTTTAAGAGAACAGTTTATAGAACGCCCCAGTTAGTGTACTAAGGGCTACCCTAATCACCTAAAAGATTTTATCGTGGACTCCCAAGAATAACCTGTTTGGAAGTAGCTCTTTAGCTCTGGGCAGGAAAACAACTTGTTAGCTTTCACTGGAAAGGGGGAGAGGGAAAAATGTGGCCATGTTCTCTTAACATTTTCAGATTGGCAGGGCAGGGTGATACAGGGTGATCATTCCTTTAGTCTCTGTAAGTGTTTTTGATATGCAGTGTTTTTTTGCTCCCTTTATTACACAATAAATAAACTTCAAAACCTTCTGTTAAAAATGCTTTGTTTGATGAGGTCCTATTTTGAAATTATTTAAACTAAATATACAAGTAATTACTCCTTTAGAAAAGTATGTCTGAGAGGAATATGAATTCTGAATCTGAAGAAGGAGGTGAAGAATTAATAGAGGAATTGAACTCTAGAAAACATATTTTAACAAGCATAGGTGTAAAATAGCCACCATTTTTGAATGACAAAGGTCAAATAAAGACAAGAACATCTTTCAAGTTTGCAGAAGATTTTCCCACTCCTCATCAACTAAAGAAGAACCCAAGTTGCTAGAGTTTACAAGTGTTTCACATTTCAATAGTTGCTAAAACACAGAAGATAAAACACTGAGAAGATATTTATCAAACACAAATTTATATCAAGGTAAAGGGTTTTTTTTCTTATAAAGCTTAAAAGTGGATTTTCCCTTTTTGTTGTTAAAAGGATGGGCAGTATGAAACTATGTTAGAGAGACCTCTATGACAACACCTTACATTTAAACACCACTGACAGTTTCAAAGTGCTCTCATCCACGCCATCTTACTTAGTCCTCACAACAGCCCTGTGAGGTAGGTCCAGCGGGTATTAGTATCCTAATCTCAAGATGTGGAAATTGAGGCAAACAGGGTAAGTGACTTGCCTAACATCACACAGCAGGAAGGAACACAGCTGGAACCAGCAATCAAACCCTTAGACTCTGTCCAGTATTTTTTCCATTATCACTATTGCCTCAGGGCGAGTAATGTTTTCTATCAAAATTGAAAGGCTACGTTAGTTCATTTCTATGACATCATAACAGTAATTTAAATGAGAAATACAAGAATAGTAGGTCTGATGACTTTACTTGACATAATAAAACTGGTGCAAAACCACTTTTGTCTACTTACTTGTAACTTTTTGGTCCAAATACATAAAATATGCAATATTTACAGCCTTTTCATTTTTTCTTTTGTAAATGCAATGCTTTAAAACACATTATAAAGCACCATAGTAAAAATAGTCTACAGGTAAAAGTACAGAAGTAGGAAAATCCTACCCATATCACAGCTCACAGATGGGAGTCGCCATATGGAATCACTGATATTTCAGTGGACAGGGTTACAGATAAGCCATGGAAAAACAAATACTAAACTTACTTTTTGGATAATGTGTGGAAATCCTTAAGAAAGCCTCAGATAATGTTGTCAACATTCTTATAAATATCACCCCAATATCAGATACTGGGGAGATAGGAATCAGGAATACTGCTTTAACTGCTTTATCTTTTTACAATATTATTACTGGTTTTAAGTTGATTTTTTTAACACTAACGATCATAAAATAAAAGCCTATATAAATATGGGCAAACCTAACTGTAGCAGAAATAGATCTGAGAGAACATGATCAAACACTGCAATAGCCTTTCTTAAACATGATTCGCAAAAACAAAAACTGTCAAACACTTCTTAGCACTATCCAGCACAGCTGTGCACACAAACTTCCAGAAGGGGAGTGGCAAATGGGTTCATCTTCATTCAAGGAGAGGTAAAGAAATGCTTATCGAAAGCAAGAGAATCAGAACCTCTTCTGAAGTGGAATTCAGCCCTCTGGCTAACTTGCATGTGTGTTTGCATGTGTGTATTGTAGGCAATGCCAGGTCCCCCACACCGCAACCGGGAGGAGATAATAACTATCGTGAAAATGAAAACAAAAATAAAAATGCCTGAAACGTAAGCACTCCTTATAAGGCCGACATCCCAGCCAGGATGTTTCTTGACATTCATGTCTGCTCCCCAGTGCAGGTCAGCGACCAGGCTCGCACACACAGTAGCAGGTGGAAGCTGGGAGCACGGAATGCGCCAGAGTCAAGTTTGGGTTTGGAAGGCTCTGGCCACGGCTGCGCTCAGTTCGACTTAGGGTAGATCTTTTCATAGAAAAAGTTCTGGGCCAGGATGTAGAGGTCTCCATCTTTCTCACGGACGGCATGGGCTCTGGTGAATTGGAACTGTTCCAGTGCAAACTCATAGAACTCGTTCTCCATTTTCCAAATGTCAGACTGCTGCAGCTTCGCGATGGTTTGCTTTGTGGGCAGTTTCTTCTCTGTGGTCTTCCTAAGGTGAGATTTCTTTCCTACTTACAATGGAAAAACAAGAAACGTAAATAATTCAGACAGAGCACACAGAGACATGCCTCTGGACTTGGAGAGACGGCTATGTTAACATGACACACTGAAGGGCAAGCATCAGCCTGCCTTAAAATACTGACACACTCCAGCAGACCCGGAAGCCAACCTCGCCAGAGGCACACTCCGATAGAAAGGATCCTTGAAAGAGGCAATGAAACGCCCCCACAGTGCACACAAGGATCAACACTCAGTAAGTGGAGGTTGTCACTCTCACACCACTCTAAGGCTTGTTTACTTATTTTTTTAACGACAACAACAACAAAATCAGTGTATATGAGTGTGCACATGGAGGTTGGAGGACAACTTCCTGGAGTCGGTCCTCTTCCATCACAGGCTCTGAGGATCGCAGCATCTAACTTGGGTCATTAGGCTCACCCAGGAAGTGCTTTCACCTTGTTGAGACACCTTGCTGGCCTTTGTTTATTTAAAAAAAAATGTGGTAAAACCCATCACCAAACTTAACTCTAATTCCCCCTCCCACATTTGCTACAGTCCCAGAGAACTGAGGGCAGATGGCATGCTCTCAAGCAGCTAGAAATAAAACCCATCAGTGTGTGACTGAGCCCAGGGTCTCAAGTACACTTGTAGACAGACCACAGCAGCACAGCACGACGGCTGCTCACGTGTGCAGCCTCCGCCCGCTCTAGAACTGTAGTCCAGCTTATTCCAGACTCAACTCCCAAACAAACAAGCAAAAGTTAGGGACGGTTTTAGAAAGAAATCTGTCATGTACATACCTGTTCGGTAGAGGTCTGTAGCACCCCTGAAAAACCGGGGCAAAGCTGCCTCCAGTAACATGATGAAGTCTTCAAGCTCTTCGGTAACCCCCACCAGGAAGTACTCATTAATTAGGTTGTACTTAGCTTGATCCATAGCCCATCTGCTCCCCACATTCCTGAAAACACAGAAAAGGAATCAGAAACTCTGTTGTGAAACCTGCTAAGTGTTTTCATGCTTCTGCTGCCCCGTGTTATGGAGAAAACAGGTAGGCACACATATGTGCGGACCTGCATGCTTGCACCACAGTCGCAGCACCACCATTAACACGCCTACCGCGGCATCTCCGGGAGGTGTGCCGGCATCTAACTTCCTTTACTTCACTTCCAGCTTCCGCTCCCAGCAGTTCCGTAGGCTCTACTAAAGGGTTCTTGAGATGAGCAAACTTGAAGAACAGTTTTAAATACACACGTCTGTGTCTTATGTTCTCTTATTTGACTTCGTGTGCATTCAATGTTTTAAAACTACTTTAAAACTTTGTTCATTCTGATTGCCCCCTTGGTAAAGTAGAACTACTTTGTGCTTAGTGTTTATTAGTAAACATTTTTTTCTTTTTTTCCCATAAGCTTTTAGTGTTTCCTAAAATCCCGAGAAACAGAAAAAATAGGTAAGAAAAGGCTCTACTAAAAATCTTTTGTTTATAGTGTCAGCTAATGCTGTTCACAGGTTTCACCCCAAATAGACTAGACTTCTGGGATCTAATTAGCACCAACATTCTTTATGCTTAGCTCTTGCTCTGCATTTTAAGTGCCAATGTGATCCCAGCAGTGGTGACTTCCCTTTGTTTTCTCTACTATTACATTTTTGGTTGTGAGGGTAGCTTTTAACAGCTGAGCCATCTCACAAGCCCTTTCTCAACTATTAGAACAAAGTCAAAACCACAAACCAAAAAACTGGCTGTGGTACTATATACCTGTTATCTGGACACTTGGGAGGTAAAGACAAGAGAATCAAGAAGAGTTCCAGGGCAGCCTGGGCTAAAAGAGATTCTATCTCAAAACAACAACACAACAAACAAAAAAATCCAACACTCCCCCAAATAAACAAACAACAACAAAACCTCCAAAACAAAAAAGGCCCAAAAATACAAATCCCAAAACCAACAATAACTGCATTTGATTAAACCCATTGTGAGGGCATATATACAATGAATCTTTCCAGAACATTTAAATGAAACCAGATCTAGGTATTTACACATTATGTGTAATGCAGACTGAAATTCTCTGTTTAGTCCTGCCTACCACACCCCTGCTCATGCGCTGTGAGTACGGAGATAAGTAAGATGACCACCTAAGCTCAGTTTACTTCCCTACCAGCATTCGGAGCTGTGGCCACAGAAGAAGGGGATCTGCAGCCAGAGCTTCTCTGGGGCACAGTCGGAGCCGCCTTCTGCCACACATTCATCGAAGGTCTGCAGTGAAGACAAGAGCATGATCAAGTTAAAAGAGGCTTTTCTTTCTGTATGTATGTGTGCTTGTAAGTGCTTGTGTGCACATACCGTGGTGTGTGCACGAAGGTCAGAGCAGCCCTGGCTGTCAGTCCTTGCCTTATGGGGACTTTTATTCACTGCTGAGGATGTCAGGCCACCTGGCCACAAGATGGCGGAATTCCTTGTCTTCAGTCGCCAGCTCACCACAGGTCACTGAGCACAGGTGTGCACTACTGTGCTCAGCTTTACATGTGTTCTAGGGAGCTGAACTCACGTCCTCACACTTGTATGAAAGTGTTTTACCCACTGACTCCTCTCCAGCTCCCAAAACTTTAACAAGTTAGGAAGTACATAGGTGCAAGTAGGCGGGATAAGGTAAGTGAGGGCTGGAGAGCTGGCTCAGTGGTTAACAGTGCTTGCTCTTGCATAGAACCTGCACTCACTTCCCAGCACCCACATGGTGGCTCTCAACCATCCATGCATCCATCCTGTTGCAGTGTCCTTTCCGATGTCGTGAGAAAGACCAATGAGGCCCCACTCACTGCCCTGCCTGGTGTGCTCAACACGCTTGTCTGCTTATTTTTGCCATAGCATCTGTCCTCACCACATCAGTCTGTTCCACAGGTTCTTCTATGTATTATGGCACCCCAAATCTCTGTATCTTTGCTAGAATGTTCTTCCTCGGTAGATTGATTCTACCAATCAAGGTTCCATGAGGGCCAGCCTTCCAGCTCCGCCTCTGGCTGAAAGTCATTTACTTACCCTCTTTTGAGCTGTATACACTGCCTTGCTAATAGCCAGCTCTCAGGAAGGGGCACCCTCATCTGCATATCTCCATAACAGGCTTCATGTACTTTTTTTTAACATGTTCTTGCTCCTCAGCTATGGATAGAGCTTGAGAAGATCACGCTACGTGCATACCATTTCGAACACACTGCATGGACAGAACTGGTATGTTAAATGTTGCTGCTGCAAAGACTTTGATTCAGCATCGCTGGGTGAACTTGGAGACAAGGTCTCTTTTTTCATTGCACAGATGAGGTAGCTACTCTGTGTTTCCCTGAATTCTCTTTACATAAGTGTAGTGCTGCCCTTTGCCATCACGTCACTTAGGCATTTCCCTAGATGCTCTGTGTGAGGATGAGGGTTTTGTTTGTTTTGTTTTTTTCTTTAAAGACAGAATCTCCCTATGTAGACCAGAGAGTCCTTGAATTCACAGAGCTCTGCCTGTTTCTGCCTCCCAAGTGTTGGGCGTGAGGCGTGTTTAAATTGGTTTTGGCCTGTGGCTATGCTGATGGGGATCTGATCTTGGTTGTTCAACAGAGGTAAGAGGACCTGAGAACTGTACTGAAGGGGAGGGGCAGGTACAGTCTGGAGGGAGGAAAGGGAAGGGGGAAAATAAGAAGTATGTATTGAACATAGAGAAAGTGAACTGAAAACATGGGTGCATTAGTTAACTGTTCTCTGCAGTCAGCTGGACAAACAACACAAGTAGCTGCTTCAAGTTCCTGCCCAGTCTGACTCCCCTGGAACTATGAATCAAGTAACCTTTCTCTCTCAAGTTGCTTTTGTCAGGGTATTCTGTTACAGTAACTGTCTGATTTAGATTTTCTGCCTGAAGCCAACCTTTAAGAAGTGGCTTTAAAAAGAAAAAAGGAAAAAAAAAAAAAAAGAAAAAAGAAAAGCAAGCAAGCAATAAATGTTATGTCTCTGCTTATTGCTATTATAGCCCAATTTTCATGAAATACTATAGTTCAAGGAATGAAGAGTACCGGGTCAGAAAGTTTCTGATTCCATGCCTGTCTCTAATAGGCCCTCGCTCATGCATGATCCCTGTAGCTCAGTACAAAGACTCTGCTTCTTCATGCTTCTACCGGTCAGAACAGGACAGAAGATGAGTACGTTACTATAGAAACTCACCATGTCCACTACTATTCCATGTGTACACATGGTTGTGTGTGTGAGACAGTCAAAGACAATACAAAGGTTGGCTTAAGTATAAGAAAGTAGCCTATTAGGAGACTGCAATATTAACATTTTCCATAAAATTACTATGTAGACGATGCAGACTACATGCAGACAACTCTGGGGATTTCATGCATACTATTTAAATTAAAACTGAATAATCATACCGGATGGCTATTTTAACTCAATTCTTTAATTAGCAAACTCCTGGTTCCTGTGTTCTTCAAGTATTTTAGTCCTTCAGGCAAAGAAAATTTAGATCTTCAATTCTGTTTTTAGGCAGTAGTTTTAAATCTGCGACCTGACTCAGGCAGACTAAAGCTGCCTCCCTAACCAAATGTTCTATAGGTCAGACTGTGAGTCTCTCTTGCAGGGATTCTGAGTGGCCATTCAGTCATCGCCCATACAGTCACTGGACAGAGGCAGAAGAAACATGGGCAACTTCTGGGTCACTTGCTTAGAAGGAAACTACTTGCTCTCCCTTCCTTTTTCCCAATGGACTACAAACCTGATGAGATAGCGGCTTGAATTCAACAAGCCACTGAAATCCTCCTGAAGAACAGTAGAGCAGCAACATATGAGGGCACTGGACACTTGGGGGACAGTGAGCCCCAAAGCGACCTCCAGAGTCTACATCTTGCCAGGAGTGCTAAATGCATGCATGTAACCCAAGCATTTGGGAGGTTGGAGGCTGGAAGTTCAAGATCATCCTTAGGGCTACACAGCTGAGTCTGATGCTAGCCTTAGCTACAGAGGACCCTGCCAAAACATCAAAACAAAACAAAAACAAGCAAAACAATAATAAATTTTTAAAAATTCAGCTGGGTGTAGTGACACACACCTTTAATCCCAGCACTAAGGAGGCAGAGGCAAGTGGATCTCTGTGAGTTTCAGGCTAGTTTGATCTACGTAGTGAGGCTACATAGTAAGACCCTGTCTCAAAACAAACAAACAAACAAACAAACAAACAAAATTAGACACAAACACATCCCACACAACACTTCTATTTGAGAATTTTACCTGAATTGTTTGTTTTAGCTGCTTTATAGCATCTGATGTAATTGACCCACCAAATGTGGAATAATAGGTTGGGTTTTATCCTCTGTGCTGGCTAGTTTTGTGTCAATTTGACATAAGCTAGAGTCTTTTGGGTAGAGGGAACCTCAACAGAGAAAATGCTCTCCTGGATGGCCTGTGAGCAAGTCTGTGGTACATTTTCCTGGCTGATGATTAATGTGGGAGAGGACACTTCACTACAGACGGTGCAGCCCTGGGCTGGTGGTCCTGGCTTTTATCAGAAAGCAGGCTGAGTAAGCCATGAGGAACAAGCCAGTAAACAGTACCTCTCCATGGCCTCTGCTTCAGTTCCTGCCCTGCCTCGATTCTGTCCTATAACTTTCCAGGATAATGGACTGCCAACTGTAAGATGAACCTTCTTCTCCAAGTTGCTTTTGGTCAGTCTTTTATCACAGCAACAGAAACCCTAACTAAGACACCTTCTAATCTTTTTGGGCAAATGTTCCTTACCTGTCAGCTTAATCCCAAAAGGGCCACTAGGGAGGAAGATGTTGGGCAAAATAGCAACAACACAACAATCTATGAATAAAAAAAATATGGTTGCACACAACCATTTCTGGTCTTAACTGCAATAGAATTTCTAAATGAATTTATGGTGCACCATTTCTGCTCCCATCCTACAGAGGCATTCCCTCCTTCTCTGAACGCCATTTTAACCCCTTCTTGAGATCATGCACCATCCCGAGGTTCCTTGTCCCACTCCAGGTTCTTGAACCCTTCACCTTTTGTTCTTCAGGTGCAGGAATATGACCAGGTATCTGCCATCTAAGTTCCTTTCAACACCAGACTTCTATCTTAGGAGCATCTTACTTCAGTTTCCACTTCACTTCTCAATTACCCTCCAACCAGCTGGATTCCACTTAAACCTCTTTCTCTGAGGTCCTCAAGGGTCTCCCCATGGAGAAAATCTAAAGCAGTCTTCACTGCTCATTTCATTTACTCTTTTAAAATCAAACCCAGTTTTCTTTGGATTTTTGTTATAATATATAGACATTTGCTCTTCTTATAACTATCATCCCCTTGGTGTTCTACTGGAAAAATAAATAACAAAGTATTTAACAGCTATCTTAGTTAGAATTGCTGTGGAGAGGCAACGTGTCCAAACCAACTCTTATAATCGAAGACATTTCATTGGATCTGGCTTACAGTTTTTGTAATGGTGGGAAGCATGGTAGCACGCAGGCAGATATGGTGCTATGAGGACAATGCCAAGTTGAAATCATACATGGTGAGAAATAGCGGTGTCAGATGTTTGGAAGCCGCATGAAGGCTTTGCTGAAAACAACTGAGAATTAATGGTACTCTACTTGGGTATTTGTTGATGTTTTCTTAAAAGGAGTCAACTGTGTTACTTGAAAGAAAATAACCAAGAGTGTTGATCAGTGTGTGGTCCTCACCTTGAGTGGTTCTGGTCTCTGGTGGCACTGGCCATTCTAGGAGGGCACTGGCCAAGCTTAGAGACATGCTAAGCTCTTCTCTGAGATGTGGATGATGCTACTAAGTAGAGGCCACAATCCAACACACAGTACCCAGGACACTGACTATTCTCAGACAGTATCAGAACTGCTGCTGAGGATTCTATGGTAGCTAACAAAGAGTTAAGCTTCCAAGTGAGAAAATGCATTTTTGGAAACTTGTACTTGCTACCATAAGCCTAGAGTTTACCAGCACCTACAAGCTGTTGTTGATAATGTCTATGGTAGGGTTAATGAATGTGAATTTTTGATACTGTATAATCAAATGCATTAAGCCCCCAGAGCCCTGTGTTATGCTATATGAACAGTGAAGGATGTCTGAAAACTGCCTGACTAAAAGACTAGTTCCAAATGTATCAATGATTTTAATTTATAAAATTTCACTATGTTTCCATATTCTACACTTCCATCTTCCATTTGTCAAATTCAGTATAGTATTAAAAAATAGCCTCAATTTTTGGGAAAAGCTAGTAAAATTCTCTTTCTTAATTATATGTCTGCATAAAGCTGGATTTTCTTTATAGACTTTAACTAAAAAGGTACAACTGAATGGACTGAATTTTAAAAATATGAAAACCAGGCTATCTTTATTAAACTAGACACTAATATTTTCTGAAATGTAAAATGGTGCCACTCTTTGTTTTTGTAAAAAAAGTTTTTCTGTGTTCTCTTTACATCACAACAGTATCTGTTAACATTAATCAGGTTTTCTGAGATTAGCCTTTAGAAAAGCTCCTTGGCTAGTGAGAAGCTGGGCAGGTAAAAGTGCTTGCCCCAAGACTGATGACCTAAGTCTGATCCCTGGAGCCCACATGGAGAGAGAACCAACTCCCACAAGCTGTCCTGCCACACATGTGCTCTGTGGCACTCCCCCTCCCCAAATAAAATAAACCAAGCTAAAATTTTCTATGAAAACTGAAATTTATTCATATTGGTAAATACTAATAGTTGGCTACATAAACAAAAGTTCTCTGGGGTCCTGTGATGATCCCTGGGGTATTCACCCTTCCACAGGGGAAAGGGGAGCAGAGACTGGGGTAGGGATGGGAAAGGGTTTAAGACAGCTGTTTGAAGGAATAACTAACTGGGACCAGCTTCAGTGAGACTGCCCAACTTCATTCCGGGTTCTTGGGGAGTGGGTGGACGGTTCCCAGAGTAGGTGTACACCACTGGCTGGCTCTTAAGGTGCTAGGAATGCTTTATTTACATTCCAGGAATTCCAGGTAAATGCCAGGCAGGAGAAAGTTGAACCAGAATTTTGACCATGGGTTACCCTGACTTCCCTCAGGGGTGAGGGTTGTGCTTGGAGACACTACAGATGGAATTCAGGCAGGGAGAAAGAAGGCCCCTACTGAGAAAGGGGACCTCCATTCTGTGCTGAACTCAGGAGGGCTGCTCAGGAGAGCTGATATTACACACAGTGGTGAGCTATGCAGCATAGGTTCTGGGAACCAAATTGGGGTCCTCCACAAGGGCAGAAAGTGTCTTACCACTGAGCCACCTCTCTAGACCTGGGTCCTTTATTTTCATGTATCGATGAATAACACTGGACTCAGAAAAAATGTTGTACCCTGGTTGTCACACGTGCCAGCTGCCCAGACGCAAAACTTTGGAACACTTTAATATGTGTACAATGCACACATCTGGCTACTTGTTAATTCACAAGTTAACCAAGTGCTGTGCTCAGTGCTGGGGTTTCGAAGATGAACCAAATACATGGTTCTGGAAACTCACCACATTTGGGGGACATGACACATACACAGAATGCAAATGACATAAAGTACACGCTTTAAAACAGCTCTGAATGAAGTGACTAAGCATGGGAGCAACGGAGACAACTCCATGGCAGAGGTAATGTTAAAGTTCAATCTTAAATGTAAACAAAGGGCTTTTTAAAGAGAAGAAAAAGCACTCTAAACATGAGGGACAGCATGTGTGCAGAAACTATGACAAGATAATGAGTTCCAAGGACATTTGCGTTTTGTGTGGCTGAAATACTGGCTGGCACATGGGGTGATTAAGCTTTAGAGGCACATAGGTTTAAGATCATATTACAGTGTGTCTCCTAAGCTTTGGGTAATTAAATACATTTCTATTTATTGATTGATTGTGGGAGTGTGAGGGGTGTTTGTGTGTGTGCACCCGTGCATGCGTGCGTGTGTGTGTGTGTGTGTGCGCGCGTGCGCGCGTTCGTGCGTGTGTGCGAGTGCCACAGCAAGTGGTCAGTTCTGTCCTTCTACCACATGGGTCCCAGAACTTGAACTCAGGTTCCAAGGCCTGGCTGCAAGCATGCTCACTGGCTAAGCCATCTCTCTGGCCCTGCCTTGGGGAATGTCTGAGCAATGAAACTTATAAAGGTGTTTCCACTGGCAAGAACAACACCGGTGTGGTTCTGAGAGCATGACTCTGATGACGTGCAAGAGATGCTACAGACAACCCAAGTCTGAACCTAAGACACTTGCTTTACCCAGGACTCTCTTCTTGCCTGAAGCTGCCTGAGCAAAACAGTTTTCACAAACTGATGATTACAAGTAAACGCAGATTGCCATCATTAAGACGAAGAACCAATATATGAAAACAGAATTATTGATAATGACATCTTAGAAAGCAGGTGTAATGGTTAATACTGAGTATCAGCTTAGAATCATCCGGGAGACAAAGTTTTGATTTTGCGAAGGCATTCCTAGGGGACTATAACTGAACACTTGTATCAAGCTAGCATGTGTGCATGCGTGAGCATGTGTGTATGGGTGTATGAGCACGTGTGCTTACACCGTGTGCCCTGCACTGACTAGAAAAAGAAGGGATTAAGTTGAGCACAGCACTCGTCAGTGTCTGCCTCCTGTGGCTGCAGGACAGCTGCCCGTCCCTCCCTCAACACGCCTCCCTACCCTATGGACAGCTTCAAAGCGTGAACTGAAATCAACACTCTTTTCCTTAAGCTGTTTCTGCTGTGCATTTTGACCGGCAGCGAGAACGGTCAGTCAGACAGCAGGACCGTAATACCGCAAACATGTGCAGTCACGGAAGTATCCGTTTTCTAGGACAGCAGCTGTGCTACTCACCGTTGCTTCTGTACCGCACTGAGCGACTTCCACACGTCAGCACTGAACAAGGAGTGAACTTACGGTTAAGAGCAAGCACATTACCTTTTTGTCTCCTTGTTTCCGTCTCCTCAATCCTGGTCTGTAATCATCTCCAAACCTCAGAAAGTAATAGTAGGAAACTAGCCTCTCGATAGGGTCCCTGATGACGTTAATATAAATCGGCTTCTTCTTCACACCGAATCTGAAACAGCAGAATTCCAGCGATGAGGTGGGCATTTTCATTAGTTCAGGCATGCCTTGAAACTATATGCAGAAGTCTCAAGTACTGGCGGTATGTGGAAGTAATAAACTGAATTAATTAAAACAAAACTGAGTATGTGAAGACTGGAAAATATTTCATAGTTAGGACTCAATAAGCAAACAAATAACTCAAGCACAATGGAGAATCACTACCGATGGCCTCAAGGAGTAAGGAGGCAGTCTGTCCTGAGGGGCTGGAGGCAGGAGAGGTTCTGCAGATGTGGGTCTGGCAGGCCTTGTCCACCCACTCTCTGCCTCAGTGGCTGTTTACTGAAGAGTTTAAGCAGCCACACAGCTGATGTTTACAAGACTGCATAGGGAGGCCCTGAGACCAGATCCCAGCCAGTCGATCTATTATCTTATCCAGGGCTCCTGTGTGGCCCTCAGACACTGACACATGTCCCTCCCCATCAACGGGCACACTGTGACACGTTTAATCCCACGCAGCCTTTAAAACTCATGAGTGGCATCCTACAGGGCCACATTTGCTGGACCTGACCTGTACAGGCCTATACGGCGGTCCTCCCACCATGTAATCTGTCGAAGCTGACAGGTGCCCCCATGCCTGAAGCGGCATGCACTACACCCAGATTCCCAGGGCATCTGCCCAGCGTTCTTACACAACCATTAACAAACCCCATGAAAGGGAACTGACCTCTCCAGCACCCAGATATTCTTTACCAACACATGATGCAATATGCTAGTGGGTTTCTGTGTCAGTTTCTAGTTCTGCTTTACCTCACATACTAGTTCTCGACTGGTTTTCCCAAACACCATGTGAGATCATCTGCTCTTCAGAAACCAGAAATAATCCTCATTAACAGCCCAAATCAAACCTAAACTTCTGGGATTTGGGGAATAGCCTGACTAGCATGTTCAGGGTCCTAGGCTGCATCCCCAGTACCTCAAAAACAACAATGGTGACAACCCTATCCCCGATATCCCTGTTGGTTATCTCACACTGGTGCTTCTTACATTTTGGGTGCCGCTTTAGTTACTGTTTTCTTCAGTTCTACTCAAAGCAGAAGCCGCACTTCCCGCTATGGCCAGGCCTGCCTTCCCACGTCCACCACCCTACTCATCCTACTACAAAGGTTGGGTCTTTTTAATATTCCACCTCCCCATTGTACCAAAACCACGGCAGGGAGTAATCTAGACTATGCAAATACAGCAGATGGGGAGAGGGAAGAACAAAGAAAGAAGAGACCTTGTTTTTCTGGAGTTGACATTTTACTGGTGGCAAAGAACAGTATGTATTAGTGAGCTCAGATGGTAAAGTACCGAGAACAGTACTTCAGCGAAAGCCAGGGCCTCGACAGGGATGTGACAGAGAACACAGTTCAAAACCGCTCTCCACCAAGCCATCACTGATGTTACATATGAAAGGGACACACACAGACCTGTGAGGAAAAGCATTCTGGGAAGAGGGAACCTCAAAGGGTGAAGGTCTTGAAGTTTCTAGTGCCAGCTGTTTGGAGAAATAATAATATGGCCACAGGCTCAGGGATAGTAATGGAATGACAGCAGAGGCATTCGGAGCCTTGGGGAGTGTGAGCATGAGGGCTCTGCAGATGACGCTAAGCATTCATTTTCACGAGTCACATGGTGGGCCACTGGAGGGGTTCAGCAGACAAGCGCAATGACTCATCTTTTCAGAGGTGACTGGCTACTGATTCAGAATGAGGGCTGTGACACACTTGTGTGGCCCTGATGACCACTGCATGCAGCGCTGTCTGCCTTCATCAGACACCTGCAGTGCCCATGAGCTTTTGGTCTCAGGTAAAATCAACTCTGAGTGTGTCTTGCTAATGCTCGCCCCCAGCTGCACGGAGTCTTCTGAGCATCCAGAAACCAGCAACAATTAAAGAGCAAACAGCAATGTTGCAGAGACACAGCAAGTACCATGACATGAGGACCAGTGGAGGCTACAAGGAGGCTGCAGCTGTTTTCCCTTTGTCTGGGCCTTTCTCACAAGTGTTGAGCGCCCCACTAAGCACACAGGTGTCAGCTATTAATTAGCTAGCGTGGACAGACTGGGAACTAGCCACTTCCACTGTTCTGTGGGAGAACACTCAGCAGGGAGGCACTGGGAATCCATAGGAACCACTTCAGCTTAAAGAGACAGTCACGGAATAGAGGTTGCAAGGAGGGAAAGCACAGGGCACAATGGTGTTTAGACTGCCTTTCCTGGAAACTCCTGTTCTTTCCATTGGCTGCTGCCTTACTGTGACCCAGGCCCTTATTGCTCTCCAGAACTCTCTAGAATGTCTGTGCTTTTCCTTGTCTCCTTGGTCCTGGACACATGGGCCAGGAGGCAGCAAATAGGACACGGTACATTACAAACTTCTGCCTGACACATGTACAACGTCTGTCAACACTCTCTCTGGGTGGCATTTGTTATGTACGAAACAGGACTTTAATGAGATAATCTGTGAATAGGAATGAACTATTACCTGTAGTTGCAGAAGGGTTACATAGGCATACAGGGCTGGAGGCAAGGCAGCAGCACAGGAAATGGGCATATGGGTCACAGTGCAGCTGTGTAAGAGACAAGGCTAACAATGTTTGCTGGTTTAACTTCTGCTATCACGTAGCTTCTATGGGGAGTGAAGCAAATTCCATGGCCTAGAGACTCTTCCTTTAATCCTGGCCAGTCAGAAGAAGCTGTTCCTGAAAGAGCTAGGAGGGGAAGGTAGAAATCTGTAAACTACTGACTGGTGAGAGGGATCCTCCTGGAAAGAGGGGTATGTTTATTTCTAACACACATATCTCTACCACATATCTCTCTACTCACCAGCATGCCTGCTAAAAGATATGTCAGATATGTGGTTCCCTAAAGGAACAAACACTAGGATTGTATCTTTGCAACGACACTCGCATGGCCTGGATGGAATAACCAAGAGCTGCTTAAAAAACAAGGGCTATGTGAGACCTCTGTGAGGAGATGATGGGGCTGTAAGAGCGCGGACAACCTCTGGGAAAGCTGTATTTTGAGACTTCTGCAACATAGTAGATCTAAGCACCAATCTTGTTAAAAAGTTGTTGTGTGTGTGTTCGCTTGCAAGAAAAGCTTCTCTCCTCTCATGTGGGTCTTGGGAATGAAACTCCACTTATCAGGCTTGCTGACAGGTGCCTTAACTCCTGAGCCATCCTGTCAGCCACTAAATCTGCTTAAGTTTGGCTAGGATTAGTTGTATCTTGTGATGTACATATTTATGTGCGACTCTTAGCCATAAATGGTTCAGACTAGTGGCAGACTGCCTTTGCTCAGTTTCAAAGAGTGAGTAATCTGTTGGCATCGTCTGATCTCACTGATGATAATGTGGTATCAAGGACAGTTATCTGTTAGGATGACTCCTCCAATAGATGCTACTGATAAATAAAGAACTTAAGTTTATATGGGACATTCACATGAATACTTTCAATTTTCAGCAGAGCATAAACTCATTAGAAAGGGGGTTTCAATGGACTCATTAGTCAAGGACTGCAAATTATTCAATTTGATATCCATCCTGGCACCTTGAAAATGACCAACCTATATAATTTAAAAATAGACAATATTAAAATCAATGACATTAATTTGCCATAGATAAACACTCTGAAAACTGTTAATCATTAAGAAAAAAACAGCAGCTGAACACTTACAGAAGAAGCAGAACTAGGTAAAAGGCTTTTTAAAAACTCAGATGGGGTTAAAACAAAGGATGCAAAGCAGAACAGATAATCAAAACTACTAGGTAAAAAGACATTTTTACTAGGTAAAAAGATATTTCTAAAACTGTAGAAAAAATACAAAGCCAGGACTTGACTGAGATGTTTTAAACATAATGTGCACTTCTTAGAAGTGAGTCCAAATAGAAAGGGTCTTTCATTTGTCATTCCCCATATTCTTATGTTATATGTTAAATAAACTGGAAAATTAAACACAGCCCCTCCCTCCCCATGAATTTACCACCTTTCCTCTAATGGCAAGTAATTTAACGAACTCCACCAAGCAGAGGACTATTCCAGCCAAGTGCAGAGGAGCTTGTTCTTGTTCCTCTGTCCTTCTTGGAGACCTTATTTATTTTATGTGGAAGGTGTTTTGCCTGCATAAATGTCTGTGCATTGACTCCTTGGAACTTCAGTTACAAATGGTCATGAGCCACCATGTGGGTGCTGGTAGCTGAAGCCAGGTTCTCTGCAGAAGCAGACAGTGTTCTCCCCCCACAGTGCATGTGTGTGTGTGGGAGGGGGATGGATGGTAACAGGGACTAAGAAAACCCAGGACTTCTGTCCTAACTAGTGACTATTCTACTACAAAGCCGCATCTAAAGAACATTATTTGTTTTTATATTAAAAAGTATGTGTTTTGTGTATGTGCTGTGTGTGTGAACACAGGGGTACATATATCATAGTGTGGGGGTCAGAGGACAACCGTGTGTATCAGTCCTCCTTTCCACCTCCTTTGAGAAGAGGTTTTACTGCTGCTGCCAGCAGGCTAGCTGGCTGGTGAGCTTCCAGGCATTCTGCCTTCTCTGGCCTCCTCCCTATAGGAGCCCTGGGATTGCAGATGCTTGAGCTACAGGCCTGGTTTCTACATGGGTTCTATGGCTTCAAACTTGGGTCCTCACAATTGTGATGCAAGCAGTTTTACCTCTGGAGCCATCTTCCTAGACCCTCATTTTAAAATGTGAGATGGGATGGCACTAAGTTGTCTGGGCTGGCTTCAAACATATAATCTTCCTGTACCAGCTTCCTTGGTAAATAAAATTACAGATATACGCCACATTCTCAGCTCAATAATATGTTTTGAAGGGCTGGAGAAATGGCCCAGAGGTTAAGAACTGGTTGTTCTCCAAAGGTCCGGAATTCAATTCCCTGCAACTACATGGTGGCTCATAGCCATCTATAATGAGATCTGGCGCCCTCTTCTGGCCTGCAGGAACACATGCAGACAGAACATTGTATAAATAATAATTAACTAATTAATTAATATGTTTTGAAGAATACAGTACTTTAAAATTGGTAAATGATGTTTCAACTTCCTTGGTCATGGAGTCTATGACTATCAAGCTAAGGAACAGTCACAGCTACAATTTTCTTGACTGAATATATTAAAATGCATATTTAATTATGCTTAGCTATTTGTTTAAAATTAGTCTATTAAAAATTTCACATTACTTATTTTCAATAAAATGAGCCACTGTGAAAATATTCAAACCCAGTGCTGCTGTCAGTTTTCAACAAGATTATCTTTAGAAACAAATTTATCCATTTCAGGTCCAAGCACACTCGGCAAACACCAGAGCATTGCTCTACATACAAGACTGTGCCCAAAGCAAAAGCATTCAATATACAATTTAATAATGAAAACCTACAGTATTAGAAACCAGAGCATGCCGAGAAAAAAATAATCATTTAGGTGAAAGGGTAACAAACAGTCATGGGAACATAACGCAGCCCTCAGGGAAAAGATGTACGTGAGTAAAAGTTTATGAACAGGTTCATTGCCTCTGCAGAGAGAATTTCTAGTTTATTTTAAAACTGCCCATAAAATGCTTTCAATATTGCAATATGAACTATTTATAGAAGAGTGTACATTTAACTTGAAAATTGCAATTTTACTAGAAGATCTTAGGGATTATGAGGGGATTCAGGAACGTATCACTTTATGTATGTAATAACTGGACAATTCTTTCATTACATGATTTCCAGAGAAGTTAAGATTTCCTGTTATCCTATCCCGTGACACACCTTTTTGCTCTTTTTCTCTTTTAAGCTTAAAAAGTTAGATTGAGTGACAGCACTTTCATCGTAAAGTTTACACAGAATGCCTTTTCACGTTGACAGCTGATGCGCATATCCCTGTAAGACACAACTGCCAACTTAAAACACTGAGTGGAGCGTGCCGCAGTTAGACCACATTTTTGGATGCCCCTGATGTCAACAGTGTTATTAGCAGAGCACTCGGATTCGACCTTTACTGTAATGGCACCATGTGTTCCACTGATAACATTCAAACTGATCCTAGGTTTAGACTCCTCCTTTTAACCAATTTTCTGCTTACTTCTTAAGGATGCAAGGACTCTTGAGGGGCCACAGAATGCTTGAACACTGTACTCTATAGTCATTCAAACTTTTCTTTAAGAGAATTAAGACGAAATTACCATGACTTTCAAATGTAAAAGAAAATTGAAGGAAAAGCACATTAGGGTATCAAAAACTGAGTGAGTTTCTTTGTTTTCTCAGTTAGTGACCTGGTGAGCCATGGTCTGACTGATTACCTTAACACCTGAGCACTCACGGAGTACTCCAGTTATGGGAGAAACTGTCACATAGTCCCTAACAGAACAGGAAAGAACATGAATTCTGTCATTCAATTTCTGAACACTAGAGGGCAGTAAAGCACTGGGAGGAATATTTAAATTACAGGCCTAAAAGTGGCATGGTATATTCCACTACTTTTTAAGGAACTCATTTTCTTTTAGGCTCATGACATACAAAGTATTCTTTAGTACATTATTTTGGATGCTACTTACTTTGCAAAATCCAAATAAGAAATGTGTCCATGGTAGAAGCCTGGTTTCATCTCGTTCCAGGTGGTTATATTCTTTACAAAGCGTACCTAAAAGAGGACATACTCATTACCTCACTGGCACTGTACAGAAAACAGTAACATGAACTCAGTGGCTGGCTCTTTGATCACCGCCCCCTAGGGGGTGCAGCCTTGCCAGGCCGCAGAGGAAGACAACGCAGCCAGTCCTGATGAGACCTGATAGATGGAAGAGGAGGAGATCTTCACCTAACCTATCAGTGGACTAGGGAGGGGTATAGGAGGAAAAGAGGGAGGGAGGGTGGTACTGGGATGGGGCGAGAGAGAGGGCTACAGCTGGGATACACAGTGAGTAAGCTGCAATAATGAATGAATGAATGAGAGCAGTAACTGTCAACAACAAAACACCCCCACTCGGGAACAGGATCCAGCCCCAGCATTTTGACAACTACAGAGCTGGAAGACTGGTCTGAAGTGCGGGCAGTTAGTGCAATCTGTACAGACTCCTTTACCACACTCAAGTGCAGCAAAGTGTGTGTGCATCAGGTAGTGGGAGGGTGCGGGCTGTATTTCACCCCCATGAAGGTAAAGCATGGTTGCCAACTTTGATAAGTTAGAATCAACTAAGAGATAAACCTCCGGCACAGCTGAAAGGGATTTTCTTGATGAGCTTATCTGCAGCAGGACCATCCTCACAGGATGCAGGTAGCATCCTCGGGTGGAAGCCAGGCAGGAGGCGGCCTGGGATTTGCCTTGCACCCCTGCACCTCACTGATGCTGCCTCCTTAGAACCTGGGTTCTTCAGCCTTTGAACTTGGACTGGAGATGAATTGCTTTCTAGGAATCCACCTTCAGACTCAGACTGAGACTCCTGATGTACCCAGCCTTGTGGACTCTCAGTAGCTCCAGGAAGATACCATTGTTGGACTACCCAGACAGCCTCGTACAAGACAGTCTAATACTTGCTCTCCTTTATAAGGTTTTTTATCTTTATGGATGTGTGTGCATGTATCTGTGTGTTTCTATGCATATACATGCAGAAGCTGTAAGAAGGTGCTGGATCTCAGGAATCCAGATAGGTGACATGAGCTGTTCAAGGCAGGTGCTGCGAACCAAACTCAGGTCATCTGAAGAGGAGCAAGTAATTCTTAAACACTGATCCACTCCAACCTGATCCCTTTTACTATACATACATATACACACATTTAGCACATGTGTATATATATGTATGTAAATGTAGAATGGGTATTCTACCAATTCTGCTCCTCTAGAGGATCCTGCTGTTTTAATTAGGCTTTCTATTGCTGTGCTAAAACACCATGACCATAAGCAACTAAGGGAGAGAGGGGTTTATTTCACTGACATTTCCATGTTACAGTCCATTATCAAGAAAGGTCAGTATAAGAACTCAACAAGGCAGGAGCTGATGCAGAGGCCACAGAAGAGTGCTGCTTACTGGCTTGCTCCTCTTGACTTGCACATTTCTTTTCTTATGCACCCCTGGATCACCTGCCCAAGGGTGGGGCTGCCGGCAAAGGGGCAGGCTTGAATATTTCAGTCATCAATCAAAAAAATGCCCCACAGACTTCCTTGCAGGCCAATCCTACTGAGGTATTTTCTTAAGATTGCTTCCCAGATGAGCCAACATCAAGTTGACCTAAAACTAGCTAGCATACAGACAACTACACTCCCTATCAACGATATACACTGAACCCAGGAAAGCGCAATCCAATGTAAGGAATTCTTTGAATGTGTGTGTGTGAATATATATATATATTTATATTTATATATATAAAAAACAGGATCTCATAAAACCCTGGCTAGACTCAAGCTCATCACATATCCAAGGATGACTTCAAGTTCGTGATCCTCCTGCTCCCACCTCCCAAAGACTGGGGCTACAGTTGTGTTCCACCACACTCATCTCATTCTATACATTAAATGTTTTCTTCTCTGACATATTATTAAAAAAGCAATCATTTTTTAAAAAGACATTCATTTTTATTTATGCTTCAACAAATTAATATAACTTCCAAGATGATTATAAGATTTTAAAGAGTGGATATATAAGCTCATTCAAATAAAACATTTAAACTATCCAAATACCTAAAATTTTCTTTTCATTTAAAAAATTATGTATGTATGTATATGTACTGGTGTGTGGGCTTGTGTAATGTGAGTGTGTCTGCAGGTGTCCACAGAGTTCATTAACAGCGTCAGCTCTCCTGGAGCTGGGGTTAGACTGTTGGATGCTACGAACTGAACTGAGGTCCAGGGCAAGAGTAGTATGCACCCTTAGCTGCTGAGACAACTTTCAAGGCACAAAATACTTCTTAATTTACTGGAATTGGAAGTATACAAAAAATTAACAAGAAAATTCTGTATGTGTACATTAATGATTTTTACGGAATTGAGAAAAAAACCGAAATTGGTTAACTTAAAAGAGTTTGAGTGCCAGCAGCTATACAGTTCCTCAAAGGAAATCAAATCCGTACAATAGACAGCAACGGTGGTCAGGACTCTCTTCTGGAGACCAGATACACACACAGGGATGGCAAGTTCCCTACTCTACATGGAGGGAAGGCAAGCAGACCATCAGTCCGGGAAATAGAGTCTAAACTTCCAGTTTAGATCTAAGTTACATGGATCTAAGTTACAGCACTGACCTTGGGGACTGACTGAGGACAACTGCTTTCTACAGAAGGCCTGCTCGTGCATTAGGGAAAGGATGGATGAGGTCACATATCAGAGGGTGTCCACTGAGGAAAAACAAGTCCTGGGACAGTTTTAAAGGGACACATTATTAACTGATACACTGATGTAAATGACAGTAACACTAAGAGCTACATACATACATATATGTGTATGAGGGTCCTGTGTTCTTTTCTATTCATTCTTTATATTAAAAACATAAAATGGCAAAAAGTATTAGATAATATAAAACCTGGATCAGTAAAGACAACTGCATGGTTACATAAAATGTTCTTGTTAGAGTTAATTATGTTGTGTCCTATGAAAGTCAGTTACAGTATTTCTACCAGCAATAAAGAGGAGCTGGAGAGATGCTCAGTGATTAAAAGCACTGGCTGCTCTTCCAGAGGAAACTGTTTGGATTCTCAGCAATCACATGGCAGCTCACAACCACCTGGACTCCCAGTTCCAGGGATCTGACACCCTTCTCTGGCCTCAGCAGGCACATGGTGCATAGACATATAAGCCGGCAGAGCATCCATACACACATGGGGGTGAGGGAAGGAGAAGGAAAAGACGTGGTGATTTTCAGAGCTTAAGGCACACCCAGAGTTGAAGCTGAGATGTAATGTGGATGTGGTTGTTTAGGAGGGGAATGAAAAAGGTGCTGCATGAAATTCTAAGGAAATGCTGCTGCAGAAAGAAAATGTCAGAGAGGACCAGAGCATACAAATATGAAGTAGAATGTGATGAGGAACTCAGGGAAATAGGAGCCAGACATACACTCCAAGCATCCTCTCTTTTCTGCCCAACACGCCTAAGTAAGGATGGTCAATGTGAACCTGAAGCAACCTGTGGATGAATGACACATCCGACTTGTGTTCTCTCCATGAGGGGAAGCCCAGGAGGCTGGGTTAGGCTGCTGCTAGGCCTCTCAAACTTGAAAGTGCAAAATGAACCACCTAGCATTCCTGTTGAGACAGATTCTAATGCAGCAGGTCTGAAGTAGTTAGTACTTGGAATTCTGCATTTTCTGATAAGCCTTCATTAAGTGTTACTGCTCATCTCTAGACTACAATAAAGTAGTTTCAAAAGGTGTGGGCTTAGGAGCCAGCTCCTAACTTTATTAACACGAGGCTTATTTTGTGGCACTAAGAATGAAGGCCTCAGGGCTACAGAAATTCTTGGGCAAGGTTATCCCCATACTGTTTCAGAAAAATACACTGAAATCCAGCAGGGTTTTTGATAAATGTATAAGCTACTACAGTATATAAAATAGAGGGGGGCCGAAAAAGTGAATCCTGGCTACTGTCACTCACCTTCCCTCCCCCATCTCCAGCAACACCTGAAGCACACTAGATGCATTTCAAATTTAAGTACTTCCAGTTGGAGTAAGAATAGTTTTAAGAGGCAAAGAACAGAAAAAAAAGGAATGAATGCTATGCTATAACCAATCTTAAATTTATTAGTAGAATCAGAATTCCAGAGGTGGAAGAGACCAAGAAAATCCTGTAGCCTTTACTTTTATAAAGACACTGAGAACCACACTAAGATCACTTAACTATCTGCCTATGCAACTGTGTGTGTGTGTGTGTGTGTGTGTGTGTGTGTGTGTGTATTGTGTTTTGGGATGTATATTGGATCAGTCTTGCAGACACTAGACAACCTTTCTGTTCTTGCACCAGCCCTATCCCCAGCCTTTCCTACTTACACAACCTCAACAGAAGAACAAACAAGAAGGACTTGAAAGAAAACAGGACAAACACAATCTCTTGAAGACTCAAGGTATAGCTTAGCCACAGACCCCTTTCGAGCACATGCAAAGCCCTGGGTACAATAGCAGCACTGAAAAAATCAAAACAACACCAGTGTAACTTGGGTACTAAAATATTCAGATTTTGCTAATTACTATGGTACTCTCTCAGAAATTCAAAGATTCACCACTGGACTGGGAGTATAGATCACTGATAAATAAAGAGTGTATTTTAGCTTGGGTTTCACTGCTGTGACCACAACTGCTATAAAGAAAACATTCATTTGGGGCTGGCTTACAGTTTCAGAGGTTTAACCCATTATCATCATGGTGGGAAGCATGGCAGCGTGCAGGCAGACATGGTGCTAAAAAGGGAGCTGAAGATCTACATCCTGATTGGAAGGCAGCAGGACTGTGTGCCACACTGGGCATAGCTTGAGCATATCTGACCTCAAAGCCCACCTCCAAAGCAACACACTTCCTCTAACAGTGCCACACCTCGTAATAGTGCACTCCCTATGTATAAGCCAAACATTCAAACACATGAGTCAACCGGGGCTAAACCTATTCAAACTACCACAAAGTGCTTGCCTATCATAGATGATGTCCTTGGTTTGATTCCCAGCAC